AAAAGCTGGACAGTGAATAAGGAAGACCATAGAAGAATTGATGCCTTTGAGTTATGGTGTTGGAGGAGAATATTGAAACTGCCATGGGCTGCCAAAAGAACCAATAGATCCATTTTGGAAGAAGTGCAGCCAGAGTGCTTGTTGGAGGCCAGGATGGACAAACTTTGTCTCTCATACTTCAGACATATTGTCAGGAGGGACCAGTTGCTGGAGAAGGGTATCATGTTTGCTAAGGTGGGGGGTCAGGGAAAAAAAGGAAGACCCTCCTGCGAGATGGATTGGCCAAGTGGCAGCCTCGATGGACTCAAGCGTGGCAACAGTAGTGAGGTTGGCCCAGGATCGGGCAGTGTTTCGTTCTGCTGTGCATAAGGTCACTGTCGGTTGGTACTGACTCGATGGCATCTAACAGTAACGTTCTGTGTTTAACTTGTTGAGGAAGAGAGGGCATAACCATTTACATTCCCACCAGTAACTGAATCAAGGGTTGGCATATCTCCATATCCTCACCAACCTGGTTCCCCCCCCCCTTTTTTTTTTTTAAATCAGAACCATTCTAGAGGGGATACAGTGATAGCTCTTTGCGGCTTTATCAGCATCTCCTTAGTGACTGACCAGTCTACCACAAGGTTGGTTTGAACTGCAAAGTCAGTGGTTCAAACTCACCAGCCACTCCTCGGAAACCCTACATAGGGTTGCAGCGGGTTGGAACCAACTCTATGGCATTTAGCAACAACAACAACGACTAAAGACAGTAAGCATTTTATGTGTGTGTTGGTCATTTATATGTCCTCTGGTGAAATTTCTTTTCAAGTCCTTTGCCTGGGTTGTTTGTGTTGTTCATGTGTAGGAATGCTTTATATCATCTGGGTATTATTAAGCTTTTATTTGCTATGTGGTTCCCCCAGATTTTCTCACTTATTCCATGTTTTTCTGTGGCCTTTAATTCTCCAGTTGCTTCCCCTGGGATGTTAGGGAAGCCTTTACCATTTACTTGATGACCTTCTGCACAGTGTCTTTTTGGCAGTGGTCACTCATTTATCCTTTTTTCCAAAGCTTTATCAGCCTGCTTTGATTTTTCAGCCTGATTGTTTTTCTTCTCTGTGCCACAAGCTCTCTTTATGGTGGGCTGAGTTGCACACATTGTTTTAAGTTATTCCCTCCCTTCCTCCCTCCCCTCCATCTTCTCTTTTCCACTCCTCTTTACTGTCCCCCTTTTGTTCCCTGTCCTTTAACTTATTGATTATTCTCCTTCCACTTCAATAGTTGAATGTGTGTAACAAAAATATAGCTTTTCAACTCTATTCTAGTATTAGTAATAATGCTAATGAAGTAAACTTTTAAATAGAATTAAGCATTATGTTTATATGCCGTGGTGTTGGTTCCGACTCATAGCGACCCTGTACAGGGTTTCCAAGGCTATAAATCTTTATGGGAGCAGAAAGCCTCATCTTTCTCCTGTGGAACAGCTGACAGTTTCGAACTGCTGACCCTGATGTTAGCAACCCAATTCGTAACCACTACACTACCAGCATTATACTATCCAGTAAATTTGGGGCAGGGTGGAGGGTCTTTCAAGTGGAAATGTTTCATAAATGTATCTTTTAAATTTTCTTCTTGGCCCCAAACTTACAAAATTCACTGCTTCATCCCACTGCCATCAAATCAGTTCCTACCCATTGCAATCCTTTCAGACAGAGTAGAAGTGTTGTTTAGGGTTGGTTTCCAAGGCTGTAAATATTTATGGAAGCAGACGCCTTCATCTTTTCCAAGTGGAGCAGCTGGTGGATTTGAACTGCCAACCTCTTAGCTAGTAGCACTTACTGTGCCACCAGCACTCCTTATTCGTTGCTTAATTGTCCTGAAAATCATTTACAAAAGCATGACAAGATTGTTGTCTTAGTCTGGGTTCACTAAAGAAGCAAAACCAGTGAAACTTTACATATATAGCACACACAGATCTGGAAACCGTCACTGGTTTTGCTTCTCTTGAGAGAAAGATTTACATCAAGAAAGACAAGTCCCGAGTCCATGGGTCACATGTCAGGCTGACCAGGGTGGACAAGTCAGACTGCAGGCAGGTCTGCCAGGTAGGAAGGCAGTTTGCTGATAACTCCCAGGATCGGCAGGTACTTAAGTCCAAAGACTTGGAGGTTGGAGGACAAGCCCAGACGCAAGATCCAGATCCAACAGACAGGAGAGCCAGCAAGCTTTGCCTGAGTGTTCCATATATTGGAAGCAGGCCGCACTCCCGAGGAAACTTCCTTTCAACTGATACGCTTCTGACAGTAGACCTCATCATAGAGCTGATTGTATTATATTAGATCTCATCACGAGGGATGTTGCTGTTACGTGCCTTTGAGTTGGTTCAGACTCACAGCAATCCTGCGTAGGGTTTCCAAGGAGCAGCTGGTGAGTTTGAACTGCTGAACTTAAAGGTCAAAACCTTGCAGTCCAGTTCTTATCTTATAGCACCACACCTGGACTCCGATCATAAGGGATACTACATCTCAACTGCTAAACCACTGAGAATTCTGGACCAGTCAAGTTACCATAAAACCATATAACTATCATATAACTATCACAGTCATCACAGACATCTTGAAACACTGAACTAATGTAACATTGAGAGTCCTGTTAGCATTATGGTTTCTTAGAATTTCAGTTTATATTGTGATCAAGCATGAAGATAGCTTGTTATCTGGGCCTTGATGCATAAAACACAAACACCAAACCCATTCCTGCCAAGTCAATTCCAAATAGGACAGAGTCGAACTGCCCCAGAGGATTTCCAAGACATAAATCTTTATGGAAGCAGACTGCCACGGCTTTCTCCTGTGGAGTTGCTTGTGGATTCGAACCACTGACCTTTAGGTTAGCAGCCAAGCGCTTTAACTACTGCACCTCCAGGTTAATAGTAAAATCCATGCATTTTAATATTAAAAATCAAATCTGTATTAACATGTCACAAAGGATGGTTGAAATTCAGTCTTTCACTTTTCACTTAGATGCACTTTTAATCTTGTCAGGTGTGTTCGTCTGGTAGGTAGCAAATCTGATGTCTCCAAGAGGACCATGAGAAGCACATGGCTTGGAATTCTCAGAAGATGCTGCATTTTCTTTTCAATAATCTTCCAAAGAGTTTTATCACTTTTCGGATGAGGACAAGATTTTACTGTGATATGACACGGTTTTGTTCTTTGGTTTGTATTTTAGAAACATTGCGATAGACAGAAAGCAAATCTACGAATTCGCTTTAGACCTTCCCTTTTCCAACATGTGGGTCTGCATTCTTCACTAACAGGAAAAATTCAGAAGCTCACGGTTGGTGATTTCAGATTACTTTCCTCATGGAGAATGCGATTGTTAGTGCATGTTTTTTGTTCTTCCTCTTAAATAAGCTACAGGTGTTTAATGCCTCCCATGTCTTTTCCTCCTAGGATAAAGATTACATGAAACCATTACTTCTTAAAATCCATGTAAACCCACCTGCAGAGGTGTCTACTTCCATGAAGGTCTACCAAGGACATACACTGGAGAAGACTTACATGGGGGAGGACTTTTTCTGGGCTATCACTCCAATAGCTGGAGACTACATCTTGTTTAAATTTGATAAGCCAGTCAATGTAGAAAGGTTGGTGGTTATTGAAATATACTTGGTCTTGTCATTCAGACTGCTTGCTCATAATGTGATTTAGGGTATAATTTTGGGAGGTACAGCAGATATGAGGAGACCCTGGGTCCCCAAATGTTGACTGTAACTTAGTAAAAGAATGGGTGAGTTGTTTCAAGATGTAATGGCACTGTTTACCATGGTTGATACATTATATTGGTATTTCTGAATTGATATTTAGTATATGTTCTAAGGAGTCCTGGTGTAGCGCTGTGGGTTAATGCACCAGACTGCAAAGCCGTTTGAACTGCAAGGTTGGCAGTTCAAGCTCACCAGCTGCTCCTCAGAAACCCTAAACAGGGTCGCTGTAGGTCGGAACTGACTTGACAGCACTTAACAACAACAACAAACATTCTAAAACTTATGTAGAACTTTCCTTCAAAATCGCACATTAGTTTTTGTGTCTTTAACCAAGAATATTCCTTAAATTTTGACTGAGAGCTACTTGACTAATCCAGCAATTTGGCTGAAATGATTGTTTGATAGACTACAACTATTTCTAGTCAATAGCTTCACAAATGCTGGGTTCTTTTTAGCACAGCGTGGAGGAATAATACAACCTTTGTTATCTGTTTTCAGAATTATACTCGTTTTTCAAATTTAGGACTTTTTTTCCTTTATGTTGTATTGAAACAGTCATGTCTTCTTCTGTTTTTCCTCAATCCTGGATGTGTTCCACAAGTTGTCTGTGGCATACTCACATGTAATCCCCAGAATACAAGGCCTGGTAGTATAGTGATTACGAGTCAGTCGGGCTGTTAATCTCAAGGTCAGCAGTTTGAAACTACCAGCTGTTCCGTGGGAGAAAGATGAGGCTTTCTGCTCCCGTGAAGTTGTACAGCCTTGGAAATGCTGTGCAGGGTTGCTATTAAGTTGGAACCAACTCCATAGAACACCACCACCACCACCACCAATGTGTAATCCTGGTATGGCGCTGTGGGTTAATGCACCGGACTGCAAGGTTGGTTTGAACTGCAAGGTCAGTGGTTCAAGCTCACTAGCCGGTCCTTGGAAACCCTATACAGGGAGGGTTGCTATGAGTTGGAACCAACTCTACAGCACTTAATAGCAACAATATATCATATTATTTTATGTATCTCCATGTGAGGGCCAATTTGATGTTTGGAATAATTCTATTTACTCAAAAACAATGCTGAGCTGTACTATTATGTCACTAATTTTCTTCTATTACTCTAAACTGGTTCCAAAGAGAAAAGTAGTAAAAATGTGGTAAGCAAAGGGACTATCACTGGTAAAACATAAAAAAACGCTTGTACTTGTATGAGTATGTTGTTATATACTCATTTTATTCTTTTTCTGTTATGTAATGTTCATTTTTTATTCTATGCAGTAATACTCTGCACTTTGGGGTATTGTTTATCATACTTAGAGTCACCATAGAATCCAGAATAACACAGATGTTTATGAGTAGGCATTTGACTAAGTAAATGATGGTGTCATCATGCTATGAGTGGTCCTTAAAAATAATGACATAGATCCAGACGTATAGACATGAAAGCTTCAAGAAAACACTAAATGAAAGCAAGCGAATTGTCTGACTTAATAGAGTAAGCCTTCTTTTGTTGAAATAACAGAAATATTATTTTATATATGTTACATACATAGTATCTGGCAAGAATATATCAAACTGTTAATAGAGATGGATAACAGAGTATTTCAATTTATCTTAATACAATTAATATACTTTTTGAAAAATTCAGCTTTGATTTTGAGAACTTGTAGACTCACATGCAGTTATAAAACAAGAATACTGAGAGAGCCTGTGTGCATACTGCCCAGTTTCCCCCAATGGTAACATCTTGCAAACTATAGTGAAGTATAACGGCCAGGCTATGCTAATGGGAGTATGAGAGATAAAGAAACATCCCCACTCCCACAAGAATCCTTCATGATGCACTTTTCTCAGTGCCTGGCAATCACTAGTATTTCTCCATTTCTATCATTTTTATTTCAGAAATGCTATATAAAAGGAAACCTACAGTATGTAGCTGCTTGTTGTTGTTTTTTTGCTCAGCATAATTCTCTGGAGATTCACCCAATATGCCATTCTCTATCCATTGGTTTATGTTTAACCCAGTGAGAAGTCACTATGTTTTTATTTTAGCCTTTCTGATAGGTTGTATTGCTAGTTTGTTAATGGTTTTAATTTGCATTTTCTTAATGGGTAGTGATGTTGAACACATTTCATGTGTTCAACTCTTTCTCATAAGGTGGTTTTTTCAGGTATTTTGCCCAATTACTGTGGAGTTTTAAGAATTGTCTGTTTTCGATACTGGACTTCTGTGTGGTTTGTGATTGCGAATATTCCCCTCAGGTCTGTAGCTTCTTAACAGGGTAGGCAGGAAACCTGTCCCGATATGGCAGAGAAATTAACATATCATTTAAGCTTTATGCTTTACTTTTTATGTTTCCTACAGTTCTCAGAATACACAGTGTACAGTTAACTTGAAGTCCCAGTGTTGTCAGTTTTGTGTAGTTAAAATCTTGCTTAGAAAAGATCACTCTGAGGTAAAGTCATCTTCTTGAGTCTTAGTAATGTATTATCTGACTCATATTTTTATATTTTTATTTTCAGTTATTTATTCCATAGTGGCAACCAAGAACATCCAGGGGATATTCTGCTAAACACAACTGTGGAAGTTTTGCCTTTTAAGGTATGACTATTTTCCCCCTGTAACTTAAAGAAAGGCTAATACCAGTAGACTTGGTTTAAGGCTATTCTTACTTATATATTGAAAGAAAAGTCTCTGTAATTATATGCATAACATTAAAAAGATTATTATTATTTTAATATGGAAAGTTATTGTTGTTGTTAAGAGCCGTCAAGTCGGTTCCAACCCATAGCGACCCTGTATAGGGTTTCCGAGGAGTGCCTGGTGAGCTTGAACCACCAACTTTGCAGTTCAAACAGCTTTGCAGTCTGGTGCATTAACCACAGCGCCACACCAGGACCCCTTAATATGGAATACTTAGTAGTTTAGCCCATTTGCCTCATTTGTAGAAAGAGCCTTCATTTTGTTTTCTATTAGAAAATAGCTTGGAAATTTATGCAAGGAAAATAAATGAACCATTTTACTTTGTTTGGTAAGTGGATTTTGAGTCCCAAATATAATGTAGTTTTAATGTCTGTTGATTCATATATTAAAAAAAATTATTTATTGGTCTCTAGGATAAGCACCTGACCACAAGTTTGGTTTGAACAAGGTCAGCAGCTCAAACCCACCAGCAGCTGGAAACCCTATAGAGGGTCACTATGAGTCTGAACTGACTCAGTGACACTTAATAACAACAACAAAGGAATGCTGATGTGGCACTGTGGGATAAGCACTGGACTGCTAACCACAAGGTCAGCAGTTCAAACCCACCAGTTATTCCATGGAAACCCTATACAGGGTTGCTATGAGTCAGAACTGACTGGACACTTAACAGCAACAATAGAAAATGCTTCGATGTTTTTTCAAGTTACAGTTATTTACGTTAGTATAGTTTTAAAATAGAAAATGTTTTTCTATTAAATTACTTTAATGTTTCTTTTTTCTATCATGAACAAATTTTATACAAATTCAGCTGATGATTTAGAAAAATAAAACTATTAATAAGTCTTTCACAGTTTAAGACTGAAATGATGTTTCCCTTTTTAGAGAGCTGTGCCTCAAATTCCACTTCTGTATTCGTTAAGATAAAAAAAAAATTCCTGAGATTTGTTTAAATGGAAGCAACTATTTGTAAAATCAATGCCTTTGTTTTATTTTAGAATGAAGGATTGGAACTAAGCAAAGAAACCAAAGACAAACGATTAGAAGATGGTTATTTCAGAATAGGTAATATCTGCTTTAAACTGCACATTTCCTGTACTTTAGTTGACTTATTCCTAAACTGTAATTCCCGATATTAAGCAAATTTAAGATTATAGTACGAAAGTACTCCAAGTGTTATTCTTGTTTTGTAGTACTAGTATTTCCTTGACCGAACTAGAATTTTGGATCTTTTCTTTTCCCATCTGCCATTTCTATGCTGCCATTCTCTGATCATCAGTCTGCCCTCAGCTGCCTTCTGCAGGCTCTTAGTGATGCACTTACCTGTTCTCATGGTTTCGGCTAACGTCCATATTCCAGAATGTGTGACTCTGGCCCCGACTTCCCTCCTGAGCCTCAGATTTGTATTGAGAATGCCCATTGATAAAGCTTCGTGGAGGCCACAGAGGTATCTACAATGCAGACATTGCATATTGATTGGTCAGTTTTTCCTGTCACTGTTCATCTAGTTTCCTAAGTAAGCCTAAACTTGGGAGTTACATGAAACACTCCTGTCTCTCTTTGATTAGCCCAATGTCAAAATCATCTATTTTGTGTCACAAATGTCATGTCTTCTCTACTCTTCCCACCACATATATGTGTCTTTCCTGTGTAATCATCACATTGTTTCATAGCTGTGCTGTGTGCTCATCCTGGAAGAGAAAAGAGATTGTCCCTCATCTATCTCCTGCCATTAACCAGGGCCTGCTATCAGTTATTTACTCAGTGAATGATGATATATTTTCTTTGATTTAACAACTCATTTAATGCTTTCAATAGTAGCAAGTGAAAGACAATGTTGACCATTGAATACTTCAGGTATACAGCCTGTATACCTTCTTTTTTTTTAAAAAAATTTAATTGTGAATTGAGTGATAGTTTATACGGGGTAATATCAGTTTTACACTCATCCTATCGTATTCATTTCATTGCAATGATTACAATCCCCTGCATGCTTCATCATTCAACAGTATTTGCTTCTATTCCCTCTGTTTTTTGTTTTTTGCATGTGCACAAAAACACTCAGGATTATACACTCAGGATTATACATTCAAACAGCCAAAGGACACACCCTACAAGCCTGCCCCCTGGCCTACAGAACACATCCCCTCTCTCTCCCTCCAGGAGTCTAGAGTCCTCTGCTGCTCTGTCTCTCCTTGTTACCATCTCTGCCTCCATCTCTGGCATCGCCACTTCTCTGGGTAGGGTCCCATACTCCACTCCTGCTCTTTTCCCTTGCTGGTCCCAGGAACCTCCACTCCGGTATTGTAAGATAGACCAATCGCCCCTTTTTGTTACAAAACTTCTACCTTTACAGTTGCGACAATTACAGTTAGTCATGATAACAGTTACTCACTATTGAATCACAAAGGTCTTGTCCCCATCTCCTTTTTTCACTAACCTGTCTAGACAGGATGAAAACCACTCAGTGGGGATTCTACCTTCCCTTGCACACTCTAAATCTAAACTCCCTCTTGAAAACTTGTAAGCTAGTAACTTCATGCTTTTAAAGACACCAATTAGTTAGCCGGTGTCTAAGTTGCCCATCCCTGTCAACCCTGTGTACAGAGGGGATGGGAAGGATCCATGTTATAAAGATTCTTTCCCTCTTGGTTGGTATTGTAAGCTACTACATCCATAAGTATAGGTCAAGTTCATCAGATTGTGGTGATGTACACTTATGTTCT